TCTCGCGAATGTAAAGCGATACGGCACGCGATCCACCGACATTATCTTGCCATGTCTTCTCAAACTGCTCTTTCACATGTTTGTCATCATCGTGCTTACACACAAAGACGAACGGCAAGGCGCTCGCCGCAAATGCCGTGAACCGATCGTTGGACAGTTTGGACACCGAGTACAGGATCTCACCGGAGATCACTCGTGGCGTCGCATCCTCGGCTGTCAGATAGAGGTTTTTGGCATAGTCAAATGTCTTGAGAACCCGATCGTCCGAAGCGAGCCGCAGCAGATAGCCCAGAGATGAGCAGTAGGAGGCGCTGACCGTGTCGTTTCGGTCCACCACGTGCTTGGTAAGGATTTGAACAAATCGGTCGGCGTATGGGCGGAAGAGCAAGGTTTTCATACTAAGCAGCACCAGCACGCGGCTGCAACCCACCTTCGACGGCAGGCCCACAGCTGACCGAAGCACATCCTCGAGTCTCTGTGCCAGTTCATCGAGATTGCTTTCATCCAAACTGTCAATCAAATACCGCTCAATCACCTCCATCATAGGGGATGTACGAATGCTGGACAAACGCATTTTGTCAATCTCTTGACCGGTGAGACCATATTTGTCGGCGTTCAGGTGGACATAGTTGACAGCCTGTGGCTCTAGAGAGCTCAGAGCACTCAGGAACTTCTCCAGCATAGTGGGGACATATGGACGCAGTAAGTTGCCAGGGCTCTTCTTGATCATTGAGATAAGAGCACCGATGGCATATCCTTGCACTTCTGCCACGCTGGAATCCAGTCCCTTATCGCTCAGAAGGAAGGGGATCGCACTTTTCAGCAAAGTACCGGCGCGCTTCTCCGTGCCGCTCGTCTCGAGTGTGCGGATGACCGAGTTGGTAATGGTTTGACAGAGCTTTAGCGCGGCAGTGCGCACAGATTCCTTGATATCGTCCAGCAATCTAAAAGCCTTGCTGTAAATCTCATCAAGATACTGGGCGTATTTCTCCGTACGGCGACCTTGAATTAAGTCTGCCACAGCAGCACAACTTGCTTGCCGAACACGCCATTCCCGACCAGCTAGAATGCTCTTGAGAAGATCCTGCATGATGTCATCAAAGTGTGTATCGATGACCACATTAGGGTCTCTAACTAGTGCTTGCCAAATGGTGTTCATAGATCTTTGCACGTTCGGGTTGGGATCGAACCGGTAACGGAAAAGCTTGGGGTAGATCTTGGGGTTCTTCGCCAGATAGCCATCGACGCTAGAATCAGAAAAGATGCTGCTGATTCCGAAGCGGCCAAAGGCCGCACGGTTTGTCCAAATGGCATTGTTTGAAGCCAGTGACATAAACCGGTAAACCAAAGTGGGGTCACCTGCCTCGGCGGCCAGGTTCATGATATCCTTGTAGGTATTGACAGACGACCCCTCACCGGTGGGGAGGGCACCAGGCTCAAATAGCTGGGTGTCGGCCTCAATCTTGCCGCCCCCAAGATTGGGGCCAGTCGAAGTGAATGACTCGACCAGGTCTTGGACCAGATCATCTTTCAGGGATTGGTCACCGATCTCATATACAAGGCTGAGTCCGTGTGCTCCAGTCTCCTGCACCACCTCGTCCCGGTTTCCAAGGAGACTGCTGAACGTAGCTTGGCACTTACGCAGCCGCTCCTGCATCTCGTGCATGTGACCGCAGTTCTTAACTAGGCACAGCAGCCAGATTGCAGACGCTTTCCGCAGAGATGGCTTGGGCGCAATGCAATCGGCAATCACCTTGTCACAGATGACCGCGAACACCGATCGCGGGACGTCTGAGCGAGGAAACTCTGCATCAATGTCGAAATCTTGGATGAGAGCACGAGAATCCCAACCAACAGCGACATTGCTCAAGGCACCGCCTACAGTGAATTGAACTTCAGGACTGCGGATTTCGTGTAGACTGTAGAGTGAACTCAGGAAATCGTTGAATAAGGTACTATCCGAGCCAGATCGGGAGAATGTCATAGTCAACAACCCCAGAGAACTGATAGGGATTTGGTTCTCGGTTTTGGCGTCGCGCGATAGCTTTTCCAGAATCTTTTTCCAGCCATCTTCTGTGATAATATCAAGAAACAACACGCCAGATAGACTGAGCTGTCCAATCGCCTCTTGCGCAGTCCTCTGGAGCAAAGTATCCCGGGAAACATCTAGAATATCAAAGAGAGTCTCAATAAACTGCTTGGTTTGTGCTTCTGGAGCTCGGTTCACTAGACCGCGGTAAGCAAGTCGACTCAATAAATACGAGAGTGCTAAAATAGCCCCACGGGCTCGCATGACTTCCGAACCAACAGCAGTATTCCACGTTTGGATGGTAGCAGTCAGTTGAGTAATGAAACTTTTCAGTTGCTCCTCCGAGAAGGCAGGATGCGAAACCAGAAGTCCAAATGCCCGCGCAGTAATACCTTGGTTATCTTGGTTGTTGCTGCAAATAGGCTCCATTAAGGGTGTCGCACGCGAGATCAAGTGTTCAACAACATCATTGGGTGCTAGCGAGCAGATTTCCACGAAATAAACACCGCATTGCCGCAGTCCTTCACGCTCGCCGGTTACAAGGCCTTCAAGGGTGCCAGACAAAAAAGCCAAAACGGAGTCCTTTGCAGACTCTCGAATGTACTCTCTCACGGCCGAACGGGCTTCCACGCTGGTGGAGAGGAGCACTTCTAGCTTATAATCCCAATCTTCTTCTAGACCTGCGGCAACACCCGAGGCTGAGAACGCCTCCCAAAGCAATGTGTTTCGGAGGAATGAAATGGCAGGCATAAACGAGCCTTTGTAGAGGCCAGACAGTAGTTGGGATGCGGACAAAGCTTGAACATTTAAATGTTCCTCTTGCCCTCCTGAGCCAAGCAGGAAACGAGTAGCCTCATCGAACCTTGGGAAGGCAAACCAGGATTCATCGCGAACTGGAGCTGCCGATGAAGCTGACCATTTCCCATCCTTAGCGGGATTGAGGAGCCGGTACCAGTAAGGGTGAAGACCTTTCTTTCCTTCCTCAACAATTTCTTGTTGTCTTTCTGGACCTCTTGCAATGGCCATCAAATCGATCCAACGGGCGACCACATCGCTAAAAGGCAGGAATCGGTTCGCAAAACGCACTGCAGCATACTGAACACCTCGCGTGGCACGGTAACCAGTATCGGGATCAATATCACCAGGCTGCATGCTCATCTGACGAACCAGGAATGGCCGCAGCTGGTCCTGAAAGGTCTTATCGTGGCTGTCCAATGAAGAATTGAGAATACTTCCTAGTGCCTGATCGATACTGACAAATATCTGAGGACTCGAGTCATCAGCACTTAAGGAAGCAAAGAGCCACCGAATCAGGTCGAATTCGAAGTTCTCTACAGCATCGGCTTGCGACAGAAAATCGACTTTGGGAACCAAAATACCGATACTCTCGTAGGCAAGGCCTCGCAGGCTCAGATCTGTTATGGGTAGTTTCTGCCCACTAGCTGCTGGACTGGGCCATCCTTGAGACTGAATGAAATCCCTCAGTCCTGCAATAAGTTTGGGTGCGATTTGTTTGAGATTAGATGGTGTACCCATACGGACAACCCAAGTCGTAAATGTAAAAATCTGGGTCCTTAGTTTCGACGCTTGTAGCCCCTGAGATGATCTAGCAGAGTCTGATAGGAGCCCATTTTCAATGAGTCTCATTATTCGATGAGGGTCTGCAGTAGCTTCGATGGACTTCCCCAGAAAGACGAGGAGCTTCACTTGGAGTGGGGAGCGCACGGGAGGAGCACCACCAGTGCCGAAATACAAATCGTACAATTCTTGCACAACGTCGGGATTTTCAATATCCGCAGCAAACCGTTTCAAAGTCTCATCTCCAAGATCAGCAAGGCGGGAGTTGGCATCAGCAGAAGCGATCAGTGAAGGCAGGAATCGTTGTGGATCCTTGAAAGCACCGCTTCCGATGAATCGAAGGGCGATAACCTTTGTTTCGGTCAGGTTCAACCCACCGCCGGTAGAAGGGTTCCATGTCTCGTTTCCGGGAGCACCCTTATTCAAGAAATTATACTCGTCCGGAGATAGACCGGGACAGGTTGAAGTTTCCCTGGGGCCAGGGGCAAGGAGCAACAATTTCGCCAGCCAAAAGGACAAGAATTGGGTATCTTCCTCTGATAGACCGAGTCGGGCCTTCAGACCCTGATCTTCTTCACTACCTTTTGCTGGCAGCTTGAGAAGTGGCAATAGGCGCAAAACCAGATTAAATACAATAGCACCCTGAGTGGGTGACGTTCCGATCTTTGAGACACCCTGGAGCAAGGGCAGTAGGATTTCAACTCTGGCTTCGGAGCCGAGGCGATCAACACCTTGCTGAGCATAGATGAGATCAAAATGCCGGATCAATTGAGATTTTTGGTCCTTGAACTGCTTCAACAATGCTGCCACTGGCAGCTGAATAGAGGGGGATTTGACTCGGGTGTTGATATGCTGGCAAACCGAGATGATCTTGTTGCGCACCTCCACGCTATCTGACCCAAGCTTCAGCAACAAAGGAGGCAAATACGTTCCAAGTAGTGACTGCAGCTTCTCATCTGTGTCTGCCATGGCAATTCTGAATTCCACCTTGCCTATCAGACTCAACTCGCGAGCCTCAGAACTCTGTGAGTCCGCCATGATGAGTTTGTTTTTGCAGAAGGGTGATTCTAACGGAGCATCAAATTGACACAAGAAACACACGAAGATGACCAATTTATAAACAAATGATATAGGCGGCTACACTCACGTCATCGTCAGTTGAACAAGTACGGGGCACCTGCCCAGGTGTTCCATCGATTAGTCAGTAGCTGATTAGTCACTTTTCTTGGCAGGGCCATTTATCCCTGGCAGGTGCGATTCTGATCAAAGTCAACATACGTAGACGAGTCTACAGGGCATATGCATTAGGAGAGGGAGGAGTAAGGAAGCGAAAATTGAATTTAGATCATTAAAAAGATATAGAATGTTCTAAGTTACAGTGATTATTCATATCTCAACCTTCTGTTCTTTGCACAGCAGCCTCACCTCTCAAGAATCGACCAACCTCCCTTTCTGCCTCAGTCGAAGGTTCAATGTTATCTTTCTGCTTGATTTTTCCAAAGAGGCATCGCCAAAGGTCATCCTTCTTCACCATCTCGCCACCTACGGAGTTATGTTGCATCAAGGTTGTAAGAGTGGCATCTTGTAGTTCCATCGAGTTGGCAGATTCAATAGCCTCTTCAGTGACACCACCACTGTCAGCAGGAGTTTTCAAGAGTGCTTGTTTGACCTGCTTCTCTTTCTCCATGATGTGAGCGAGGCGTCGGGTTACTGAGATCTCATATATAGATTCTTCCACCGTGCCGGAGACAAGGTACATCCACACTGTTGTTGGTCGATTTTGGCCAATACGATGCACTCGCGCAATGACCTGGAGCTCGATTGCCGTGTTAATGAGTGGCTCACATAGAAAGACATGGGTTGCAACAGTCAAATTCAGTCCGGACGACTGTGCTTTGCCATAAAAGCAAAAACACTCAACCTAGATTAGAAATCGTCAGCGTGTGTCTTCCAATGAAGGATGAGTCCGGACCACCTACAGCCGGGTCGGTTTTGAATTTCTCAATGCCATTTGGAGAGTCGATACTGGTGGTGACTATTCCAAGAGATTTGAATGCGATCTGTAAGTGCGACACAAAGATTCCATATTGAGAGAAAATTATCGACTTTGCGCCAGGGTCGTGTTCCCGCAGCCATAGGATGTGTCGGGCCAAAGTGTCGATCTTTGTCCCGTAACCATGCTCCAAGTCAATTTTCTTGATCTCATTGAGATGACCGGAACTGATATCACTGTAAATCGCATTCTGAGAGTGACCTTCGTGGTCCAATTTGACAGGTGTCTTTTCTTCTTGTGCAACTAGCTTCTGTGCCTTGTATGTGATCTGATGGAAATCATTACGCTTTAACTTCTTCTTGCACATTGGGCAACTTTGGTGTGTACCCCACCACATTAGCAAGCATTCAGTACAATACTTATGACCACACACAGTCAACACACCTGCGTGAGTGGTTAGTCGGCGTGTAAAAGACACATCTAGGGAAAGGATAACACACCAACTTCGAAGGTCGACTGACAGACAATGCACTCTCGAGTATTACTGTCGGAGCTCGCATCATCTCTTAGGTGAATTAGATATCTTGCTTTGGACTTGAGGGATGCAATCTTTCCTTCGATGACTTCCTCCTGCTCCAGCCTCAGGGTAAAGGCGTATTCATCGAGCGGCTTGCCTGCACTTTCCTCATCATATGGAGCCACCGTATCCGAAATCTGCTGTAGGTGACGATAATACTCCAGTCGATTGTTCATAGTGTCGCGAAACATCTCAATTTCTCTGTTCAGTTGGCTGGATACTTTAAGTTGCTCAGCGATCATTTGACCGGCGTTTTTCAAGACCATTTCGACGATCTCATGTTCAGCACGAGCATGCGAGTTGCCTGAGCCGGCTTGCCACTCCAGCGATGTTGCAAGTTTGCGAAGTTCACTTACAATGCTGCGGAGCGACCCAAGATCAGGATCAGGCATAAGCTGACTGCGAGTTTCCATGATCTGGAGAAATAGTTGTGGAGAGGGCCCCTCACCTTTGTGGGCCTGAACGATTCCGGCTTTGGCTTCGTGGGAAATGAGAGTGTTCTTGTGACCAGTGAGAGCGTCGTGACGGTCGCTGTACATGGACCTCAAAGCCTCCATGTAGACATACATTTCATCTTGATGTTTTGTTGACCGCTCATACTCGTCACCCTCCAGCTTTGCTTCTTCTTCTTGGTCAATGAGTGACTGAGAGACCAGTTTGGCCATGACATCCCGCCATTCCTTGTATTGCCCAGCATGGATGTTCAGAGCGTCGCAGAATTCTTCAAACTTGCTGAGCAGATTGTATGATTCGACTCCTTTGCTGTAGAGATGGGGATTCAATTTCGGGATGTTCACGAAATCCTTGTCTCGTGCCTTGATCCTGATTTCCTTCATGTAGCGCTCGACTTTCCGGGAAATATCAGTCAACATCTCCTTACGAATGACTTTTGCAGCCTCATAGGCTTCATCCTCACGTTTCTCAAGCCTTTTAAACTCGTCTGAATCTGGCTGTGTTAAATTTGGATCGCTCTTGATTTGGTAGTATGCGTTCGCAGTGAAGAACACTGCAATATGCTGGACCTCGAGTGCACCTCGGAGCTTCAGTCGGCACTGGCCGAGGCGGCTGGTGTTGTCAGGATCTTTGTCCTCTTCTTCCTGGCCATCATTCTTATCATCCAGATTGATGACTTTTAAAGCATCCCCATTATTGTCACCGGTAGCGCCTTTGGCCTTCAATAGGCGCAGTTGTTCTCTACTGTCTTCAACTAGCCGAGTGGCATGGTCCAGTGCCTTCTGCCAAGTCACAAGGGCTTCTTGGCGTCGTTTTGCATTTTCTAGAAGCTGGCCTCTTCGAAGCTGAGATAAAAGGAGCGATCGTTCTTCCGTACGTAAAGCCGCCTCATTGGTCTCAGTCATGACTTCCAGAACCTGAGCCACAGTCCGCAAAGGACCAGAGCCTTGACCTAGGGTTCGGCTATAGGTAAGAATCTCGGGGTAGAGGCATGTTTGGCGGAGTCTCGTCAACCAAGTACGCATTTTTTCGACAATTACAAGGTCTTCGGGGTCCCAGTCACCTCGAAGGGGGGCTCCAACGGCGTTCAAACCGCATTCTTCGCACATTTGCTCAAACAGTTGAGCATACTTCTGTTCTTCTACAGCTGTGAAGGGGGTGGTGATAACAATGCGCTTCTGGGGTGGTAGGCGAAGCTCATCCAATAATTGACCTTTCCTATGCCGTAGAGCGATTTCGTTTATGATTTTTGCCAAGACTGACCCGAAACACAGACACAATCTTCTCCACAAAGGGGCTGAAAAGCAGAACGGCTCGTAATGAAGGAAAAGAAGAAGACCAAATAAGTCATCTATGTTTCTGCGCAGTGGGGTACCAGTCGCCGCCCAAGCAATCTGTCGAGGGATCAAGCGAGCTACTTTCGCTGCATTGCTTACTCCGCTCTCAATCATCTGAGCCTCATCCAGGCATACCCGCCACCATGAAAGGCGAACGAGTGGTGTCTTTCTCTGTACAAATCGCTTTTCGTGCCGTAGGGATCGTTGCGGAGTAGCACCCACATAGTGGATTTCTTTCGCGATGACATTGTAGGTTGTCAAAACAACATCGAACTCGGCAAGCTCGTCGACAATCGTATCGTCGGTTGTTTGTTTCCGACGTTTGATGCCATTGTAATGATGAACACGTAGATTGGGAGCATGCTCTTTCAACTCTTGTTTCCATTGCTCAAGAATTGCGGGGGGAGTGATGATCAAAGTGGCGCCAGTAGGTTTCAATCCGTCGGGATCAGACTTGATGGGCTGGGACTCTCGCTTATTAAGAATTATCAATGCAATCACTTCGACTGTCTTGCCAAGCCCCATTTCCTCTGCAAGTATTCCACCCTTCAAATTATCTGCGGCATCGTGCCACTCAGAAAGATCAGTTGTCAGAATCATGAAAAGACGACTGAAGTAGTAGATGCGTCCATCGGCATCTTTTGTGGAATTGAAAGATGCTGGAAGGTCACTTTTGGGAAGTTCTTCCACAGGCATAATTTCTCCATTTGGCCCGACTTCTCTTCTTTCTCTTTGTAAAAGCCAGCGAACGGCTCTTCTCTGGAACGGGAATAGATTGCATTTTAAATCAGGGCATTTGATATTCGTCGAACTCTCTGTTACCTTGGGAACGTGAACATTATTGTAGAAGTCCCGGGGAGACCATTCTTGCTGTATTCCCAGCATTTGATCACGATATCCGTGAGGCTCGGTCAAGGCTGATGGGCGAAGACATTTTTCCTGCAGCACATATCGTGTAAAGGCTTCCAGGTCTGCTTCCGTCAAACGGCCTAAATTTGGGGCCTCGATCGAATCACTCCAAAGAACTACCGTCTCGAGAGTAAAGTTTGCCCCATCTGGTAAGGCGCACAATTGTGCTTGGTAGCAGGCTGTAGGCACATTATTAGAGAACTTGTCCACGTGAGGCAGTTTGCAGGCGGCCTGAAGTTGTCCAAGGAGATCAAACAGACGCAAATTCTCGCATGAATAGATCAGCAATTCTTCTTCATCGAGACTGGATAGTTCCAGCTCCATACGATTAGGGTCACCATCGGCCGAGTCTGGTTGTGGCGTGTTGTTCAAATCATCGTCCAGAAAATGAACGCTTCGAACGTCTAAGAGTAGAGGAACGCGGGAAATGGAGAGGCTTGGATCAAAAGGCCTTTTATTTTTGCACGTGCTCGTATCGGAGGATTTCTGCGGAGGGAAACATGTTAGTCGTTTTGCTCTAAGACGAGATACCAGTGGCAACCTACTATGCGCAGTGTCAACCGTGCTAATGGAATATAGCCCAGAGGTATCCCAACTAATGATACACCATTTTCTTGTGTCAGACTCCTCGAGCCCCCTTTAGTAGTCTTGCGCCGCTTGGTGGGACGGTCATCGCATTGCTGGAAGATGGGGTACAGAGACTCGAGAGTCGCGTCTAAAATAAGAATGAATGTTAGCGCTTCAATTCTCTCAACACAATCAGCAATAAAGACATACCTGGCAGTATGAGATCTTCGACGACCACACTCATTTTGAAAATAACAGCCTATCTAGTCGCCACACTGGAGAGCTGACAAGAAAAGGGAATGCGACTCGAAAAGATGGGGCAGTTTTCTAATCGCAGTGATCACGGGAAGATAAGACAGGAACTAGTTGCCGGCTAAATGCAACTCCGGCGCAACTTGGTAGATCAAGATGACAGTAGCTCAGGTCTCAACATACTACGTCCAGCTATTTGTAGTCCAGTGCATCAACTGAAATTTCTCGTTTGATAATAGCTATGCTGGTGATACTAAATGTATGATGATTTACTGTGTAAACATATCTGGCTGCTTCCACGGTTCGAAGTGAATATAGCTTTGAACCGCACTGTTCTAAGAAGCCGAGTGTCACGTTTCAGCATTCGTGAGCAAAAAACTGTGTATTCTGACAGGGAGATAGATACTTGAACAGATCTCTGTCTTGCCTAAAATACTCCTACTAACATCACAACAATTAAAAAAAACAGTAGCATCACCAAGGGAGAGACAATCCCCTCAAATCGCAGCGAGATAGACCTCAAAAAGCCCCAACCTTATCATCCTGGCAAAATGGGCATATGGTAAAGTACTCTGCCAACCCCACCTGGATCTGCCATTTTGCAAAACAAGACAGACAAGAAAAGGACTGAACTAGACGAACTCTTGTAGATGCAGACTGAGGCAACCACCTGTGCGAAAGCAGCACTAGATCGGTAGCAAGTCCGGGAGTTTCTTGAACCAGTTTCTCGAATGCTTCCTTCTCGCGCAGCTCTTTCCTGTGTTTCTGACAGACCGCAACGACCACATCCCGAAGACCTCGATCCGACTTTGGTGTTGTTTTGTATGCTTCAAAAGCAGCAGTCAAGAAGTCTTCCGAGTTCCAGTTGTCTTGGGCGAGGGTGACGAAAGTTAATTTTGCTTGAATTTTGAGATATTCCACCTGGAATCTGTCGGCGATTGAGTATACTTTGACAGTGAACAGCATGGGGCACATTTGACGCTCGGACTGGTTGATATCGTAATGTAATCCGTAGAACGAGCGTACCATGGCTTCCACAATGCGTGGATGCTCGTCTTTAATTTCGAAAACATGAGCCTCTTTGCTTCCCTGCAATCCTTGAAGTCAGCCGGGTCTGTAAATTTTAGAGATCTTGGGACTTGGGGAGACTTACACTGGGAACATCAGAGAAGAACCGGCAGAAAGCTTCAGATCGACCGCAGACTACAAGTCTATGCACCTTCAAAACTTGGTCCGTGGTGTAAATTGTGAGGTCGGAGAAGATGCCTGTGGGATAAAGCCTGTGTCTCATCAGTCCTCTCATCTCTCATTCATACGTTGTGTAGACCAAGAACTCACTCCCCCAGTCGGTGGACAAACCGATCAGTACCCTCGACGCAGTGAGAAGTAATTTCCATTGCAAGGGTGCATCAAAGAAAACCTTGACGTGAAGCGGATGAGAAGGAGCCAGTAAAATGTGTGAAGAAGCAAACCAAGGGTCCAAATCTGTTGGGGGTAACCAACAACAAGCATTTCAGATGCTCTTTATCCTCCATGCCAAATGAGACTGAAATATCGAAACAAAGGTAAACAAGTATGCAGGACTTTTTCGTATCTCCCGTGTAGTCTTTATTAGGCCACAAACCATTCTTGAATTTCCTGCAAGATCAAAATTATTTACTGCTGGCGCTCCGTTATCATGACGCGTTGCATCCCACCTCCATGTCCCAAACGAGATATTGTCTACTTGACTTTTGTGACTCTCCTTATTATGCCATCCTCCCTAATTTACAGGAGCACCAGGTCCTTTTCCAATCATAGCCCTCACACTGTCTCTCCCCGTATCCTCATGATCTTGCGGAGAAGAAGAAGAAGCAAAGATTTTGCGTTTAGGATCGGTGTCATATACAACGGTACCATTGACTGCATGAACAGATCGATGGTACGGTTGTCCATTCATATGACTGTTGATAACATTGATGGTGTCACCCCAAGAGCTTGAGCTCCCGCCAGTGACAGATCTATACTGCGCCGTGCCAGACTGACTTGTGTGTAGGTATGATGGCCCTGAATTCAAGGTGTAAGTGGAAATACCGAGCCCCCCTGTTGCCTCAAAATCAAGCCCTCTTTTCATCCAAGATTCAATCGTCGTCTCATTCGAGGTGATGCTGTAAGTTGCGTTGACAAGCAAGGGATATTGGAATTTAATGCTGTTTGAGATGGGTGTATCCCCGAGCTTGGTGATGGTGTTAGTGCCAGTTGTAGTTTGTCTGTTAACTTGACTGTATCCTTGCTGGTTGAGGAGACCATGATTGGAAAAGGATAGTTTCTGGGACCACGAGTGCCGAGAAGAAGTTGCGCTGAAGACTCGTTTGACAACCACAGAGTATGATAAGGAATCATTTCCTCCGGTTTTATTGTGCAAAAGACTTCGAGTCACAGCAAATACTGGCAAGGGAGCAAACACTGTGGGCTGACTGCTGTCACCAGTGATAGTGGCTTTGTGGACTGAGCTATCGTTATCGGTATATATAAAAATATTTCCTGCAACAGCCCAATATGAGCCCACAGTATTTGCCAATGTGATGCCCCCGTCTGCAGAGACATTAAGACCAGTCACCCGGATTTCAAACGAATGTTTTCTCCCGTCTTGAATCATAGGGAGAAAGGGGGATATATCAATCTCCGGCTGTCGGAGATCAAATGCATCAATTCCAACGACCGGACGCCAGAATCCAGGAGCCACGCCTCCCGTAAAGATAGTGGGGTATGGCCAGACAAGCCCGGCAAGTATCCCATCGATATAAAGCTGAACTTCACGAAAAGGAGTGTATCCATACAGCTCACCGACAGTGCTTTCAAAGTCTTGGGTATCTTCAGAGAAGACATTGGACCACCAAAACTCTTCTTCTGATTGCCCACATGCCGAAATTGACACAACAGCACGCGATGCTGCAGCAGGGATCTCGTACATGACTGTTGTGTTGTCGGTGGGCAGTTGGAAGGCACTTGAAGAGTTTGACGTTGACCTTCTGGCAGAGATAGGAAGAATTAGATCTGCGGTCTTGACATTTTGCTCCTCAGAGAAGTGCGCCATCAGGGTCACATTGAATGAGCCGGTGTAAACATCGTTAATGATATTTCCCAAGTCAAATATCAACCTCTGGGGACTCTTCCATAGCGAGTAATACTGCGACATTTCTTTGACATATGTCCAAACAATCCCATTTGCTGTCGGCTCTGCTGTTGAAGTCCGGAACACTTCGTTGTCTCCCAGATACAGGAGTGCGAGACGGTCAAACTGCTTCCCCCGAGAGGTTACTGTGAGGTTGATTCGCACAGTGTCAAAATCGCAGCTTGGAGGCTCATAGTCGCCTGGATAAGTTGCAAGATTAGGTCACAAGTAGAAGTAGCTTTCGAGACCTCTTACCAACAAATGGTGCTCCATAACTGGCTCCAAAAACATGATCCATAAGCAAAATCTCGATATTGCACTTGTTGTTTCTACTAGACCCGAGTGATATTGGCTGATAGAGCTGGAAAAACTCTTGCAAACCAGTTGAACTAGGTGTCTGGGAAGAAAAGGCAGAAACAGACTGCAATCCGCCTCGGGGCGAGGAAGCCGGTGGGAGTTGCCTCAAAATTAACAACCCACATATGCTGGACAGAACCACAATCGCTAGCAGTCCGAGATTTGGATTGGATGTTCTCTGTTTTCTGCGGGTGTCGTTCATCTTTGTGTTCCAATCGCAATGATCAATAGACCAAACAGTATTGGCAGTTGTGTAACTCCTTTGGGAATTCAGTGGTTCATGGCTGAGTACCAACACTGATGATCGATTGCAAGACCTGCGATGCGATTTAAAAACGTTACAGAATGTGACCAGAAGGCAGAGAAGAACAAAAGATAACAGCCATTCGGACAGCCGGGTTAAACAATGCTCCAGTGGAGGCAGCGGATCCTTTAAGGAGACTAGCATGTTGCCTCTGAGGCAGTTGGGATATTGCTTCTTATCCAGGATGGGTAGTTAAAAGGTCAAACAACCTTAGAAGTAGCTCTTGCGATACAACAGGATTATCCAGTACATGCACAATTGTGATCTTCTAGACTTGCCCCTGACGATCAGGTGCATAAAGAGGGGAAGGTGCGACTGAAGTCCGACGCAAGCCCTATGTAATCTTTCCAGGCTACTGTACGCTAACCAAGTCCGGAAATTTGAATTATCCAATGATTTCTATTGATATTGACCAAGAAATGCTTGGTGTTGTCTAACCCTACATAGCAAAATAACCCGGCTAGACGAGCAGGAGAGTATAGTGTACAAAAGAAAGAGAAGTTGTGAGACAAATGTCTCATGTTAAGCAAGTCAAAAACAATCGCTCCAAATCCAATGCAGACTTTTGCCACAATTCACATAAACAAGCGCCAGGCACCAAGAATAAGGGCTGCGGTACCAGTACAGACACCCCTGGAGAGAAAAGAAAGTCAGCATTAGCTCGCACGTCGATAGTGTAGTTCGGGGATCATACATAAGCCACTGCAATGTCGAGAACTTAACAGCTTCTACTCGTTCCCTTAATCCAGCAACCTCCTGCTCAATTCGTGTTTCAGTCTCTTTGATACGCATTTCTTGGCCATTAGCCTCCTCACGAATCCGACCCTTCTCAAGGTTTAGATCCAACCGGACCGAGGCTTGGGTTCGTCCAATCTCATCTCGGAGTCGTGAATTGAGTTTGGCGAGGTCTGCCGCGATCTTCTCGTGTGATGAGCGAGTCAATTGTGCCTCAGTCGAGTCTGCGTTGAGTAGTTCAGAACGCAATTTGGCAAAGTCCACTTTCTGTGTATAAGTTGATCTCTCCGAATCTAGCAAAGCGTTTCCCGTGAGTTCTCCGATAAGCATAATAAAGCACAAATGCGCGATCGCAGTCACACACCTTCTCGGAGGACCATGGTCCTGGTCAGATTTTGAATTGACTCTTGAATGATATCGTTCAAAACCCGCATCATTGCTACGGACTGCTCCTCGCTGAAGCCCTCCGCTTGTAGGCGCTTCACGAATTTCAAGGTATCAAAGTGATGATCTCGAGGCCGGGCTGGCGTCGCATGAAAGGCGCGACGAGCGGAATAGTAGGTAGCCACGTAGACGCCATTGTGTCGGATTGGATTGCCGCGGGAGTTTGTGTTTGACGTTGCTGGCGTGGTGATAGAGGTTCCTCGGGAAACAAGAAACCCGGAGATAGCATCCCGGGGCGAGGAGGAAATGGGCTGGGAGAACTGGAAATGTGGGCTTAAAGAATGGAACTGTCGCTTTGAAGGACTCCAGCATTGGGGAGGTGATCGTCTTTGACTTGTTGCAAGCGCGGGATAGTGGGTGATGGTGACGGATGGACGCGAAGAGGAGCTGTTCCAACTCAGGCGGGGAATGATATTGCGCGGGACATCCGCGACATGTTTTTGAGACGCCATGTCGAGGAGAGTGGACAAATAATTAATCTATTGAAGTGCGCTTGAAACCGATCAGGAGTGACGCAGAAACGGAAGCATGGGGACTATTCCGGGGCCTGCAATGATCGGGATGACTAAAAGGACATGTGAAAGATCGACGCTTGCAGTTTCCCGGCCCCGGTGCCCACACTACCCGCACTGCCCATGAAGGTTGTTGTAGAGTGATAAGTTTGTCAATTCATGCAATTAGAGGACTATTTTGATCGATCTTTGACTAAGGCTGTTTTGAGGAAATATCCAAATTAGACGTCGTATGTAAACGCTATCACAAATCCATTGCCCTTTCGGCTACCTGGTATTCAATTCCAACCTCATGTCTATAAGTCAAACAGCTTCTTCAGCTGCTCGATGGTATCTTGAGGGCCATCAACGGAGTGTCCAATGGTGCGAGGGTCCTCATAGATCTCATAATCGTTTCCTCCGACAAAAGTCTTATCGCCGAAGAAGTGGATGGTCTTGTAGTCGATACCCGAGATGTCCTTCTCGGCTTCGATATGCTGTAGGCAGTAGGTCTTGTCCCAACCGGTGGGGAAAACATCGAAAGAGATCTGACCACCGATAGAATAGCTGTATTGGCGCACTGATTAGTGCCATGTGAGAAGCAAACGTCGACGGACTAAGACTTACGTGAGACCGTAGTCAGGGAACTCCTTCTTCAAGGACTCCACCAGGGTCTTTCTGACATTGTGAATCTTGTCAAAACTATAACGCAGGTCGGTCAGTCAGTTCATTCATGTGGACATAGTGGTGCAAGATCAACACGTACGCTTCGAACTCATCACGCTCCTCGATGCTAGCAGCACGTCCAACGGGACTAATGTTAACCATTCCATTCCGGAACTCAACGAAAGTACCCCGCTTGCGAGGCAACTTGGTGTTGGCAATAAACTTGAGAACAAAATCCACCAGCGCTTGGTACTTGTCCTCCCCAAGCCACTGAATGAAGTTGTTGCTGGCAAGCGACTCGCCGAGACGGAATGCGGTCAGACCGTTTTCGGAGAAGCAGAAATCGAACATTGTGGTAACATCGATGGTGGACGATCCAAGTTGCTCTTGCTGCTTCACGAGGTTCGAGCCGCCAACCTGAATCATGTTAGGAACGGGTTGGGTGCATTGGTTGGGAGGAGACGAACGAATCCAATAGCGCACTTGTGGCGTAATCGAGAGAGCAATTCGAGCATCTCCGGCGAAGCATGCTGTAATAGAAATTTATTAATATAATCGAATAGCAGTGAGTCTCATCGCAACCTACCCGTCTTGCGGGGGTGAGAGTCTCGTCAACATCGAATAGAACTACTGTGTTCTTGATGGGACGATCCTCCAACGAGGGGTAAACACTGGCAGCTTCGGTCATATTGTAGGAACTGTTCAATTGAGTCTCAAATAAGGAGTTTGTCAAAGACAAAAATTGCGCCCAACTTCGGGGTAAATATAGAGAGGGGCCCATTTTGGCCGCAAGCGGTGAGTGAAGGCGGGAGCTTAGCGTGTGGCCATTGGGCCCAGAAGCAGAAGGCCACCTGGTCTGTCTCGACTGTTTAGAGAAACGACAGATTGGTTATAGTGACTCACTCACATATTCCATCCTGTAAACACTACAGCCTTGGACTGCATGTGCATGCTATGTTGCACAGCATTGACATCTAGTCTCTAATGCCTGGCTGTTATCGATAAGACACGGATGGGTCACTTATCAGATCAGAACGAATGGGAACATCGACACTCGAGAATTGTCCAAGCTACTTGTTATAGACTTAAGATATGCATTTCCGACCGTACAAGTCCAGCGCCAAAACCGCTCAGAAAACCATCAAAACTCAGTGTCCCATAGTAGACTGGAAAACCTTAGCCGCAAGCTCACCCAGGAGACGCGTCCGATCCTGCGCTGGAAGATCCAAGAAAACCTCATAAACACTTTTGCCCTTGGCATCGCGGATCGCGCCGAGACGATTGCCCGCAACAGCACCCGCCAGCGCACCCGGTAAGTTGGCAACAATGAAGCCCATAGTGCCACCACTTACACCGCCGACCACTGCCCAGAATCGCCTGGTTGGGCGAGTCCGCCTCCCGCCATCTCCCTCGTTCTCCTCTGCGAGGCCTTCTTCGCGCAGCATTTCTTCAAAGACAGAGCCAAACTGGTCATTGTTACGGTCATCGCGGGTCCCGCCAAACCCAAAGCTAGACCAGGGGAAACCGCCAGTGCTGGTTGGAGGGACTTCCGCGTCCGCTTCTTCCTCGGCCGCCTGGTGTGCGCGAGTAGCGTCGTACTCCCGACGACGCGCGGGGTCGGATAAGGTGAAGTAGGCGTCGTTGATTTCCTGGAACTTTCGTGTGCGTGAGGGCCGTTCCGGGGAGTCGATCGGGACTCGATCGGGATGGGATTTTAGTGATTCCCTAGACTTTATTAGAGGGTTATTCCAAGGCTAGTTGTGGTGCACTCACCTCTTATATGCACTGCGGATCTGTTGTTGGGTGGCATCTTGGGCGACACTAAGAGTCTTATCTGGCATTTGTCAGTTGAAAAAGTCCCAGTTAAGCCTTTGGGAGAGGTCTTACAATAATCGGGACCTGGATAAGAGTAAGTTAAAATTCCGGCAAGAGAGCGGGAGTCAATTCAACATACTCGGCATGGTCACACCTGGTTTTTGGTTCCAACAAGAAATAGTATGGTAGACTTATGATAGACTCGGAAGAACTCGAGAGTCTTCCATGGAGGGGCATCACATGCAGTGACGTCGCAACGTCTTTGTCGCCTGAGGCATAGCTCCCCACTACAACATAGGTTCCACGGTTCAACTGGTCGTGATGTTTGATTTTATACAACTCCATTTCGGGAAAAAAGCACATCCTCAAAAACGATTTTGAAGAATTCTAATGTCTACCACTTGTAGCTTGACTCTCTGGGGTATTTGATCTCCCGCAAAATGGAGTTTGGCAACTAAGTTTAGCCAAACACCCCCAGCCACCTTCATTCCACCAAGGGAGACTGATTAGTCCAATCTGAACATCCCCTTTGACTTGCCTGAAGTTGGCATTTAGTGTGGCCCAGAAACTCCTCTTAGAATCTCAACTGTGCCAGCTGTCAAAAGAGATTTCCGACATAGAACATCCGCAAAAAGCGGTTACACACGTTGACCTAGATCTCGGATTGCGCATCTTCGCAGCAGCAGGTGGCTGACTTGCATCTGTCTCGTTTCAGTCTTTTGATTGCCACACCGAGAGCAAATGCAAAAAAAACGAAAAGGGTTCAAAGAGATAACCAGGGAAATCATTCCGCTGCAGCACCTCAAACCCGCCTTCTTCTGTGTACCATCCTGCCACAATCCAATCCCTCTCATAACCCACAAACCCGTTTCTCAACCCAGACACCTCACTCGCCGGTCTGACTCTAAAAGCATAAAGTTGCACCCGTAACCAGTCTCAGTCTCAGCGTCAGCATCACCACTAACACAATGGGTTGGTTCGACAGCAAATCCAGTGCCGTGTCATCCGGAGGAAATGTGCAGCGACGATCATCACCGACGCCTAGCTCGCACAGCATACACAACAAACGCAGCAAAAACAGCAAATCCGGCTACTCCACCCACCACACGCGAACATCGGCGCCGTCTTTCATCAGCGGGTTAGGCGGCAGCCGGGCAGGAGCCCGATCAAACCCATCTGTGTTCTCGTCGTTCTCATCTTCGTCGCGACGGGCCCGTCCCCGCGATGGATTCGTTCAGCGCATGCTTCGCGACATTAAGCGTCTGTTCCGTGATATTTATCGCTGGGCCCGTCGCAACCCTGTGAAAGTCTTTATGCTGGTTATCTTGCCGCTCCTGACCAGCGGTGTTCTGCCAAAGCTGCTTGCTATGATTGGCATTCGCTTGCCACGTGCTGTTACCAGCGCCCTTGGTGGCGCGGCAAAGTCGAATGGTCGTGGTGGTAGGGGTGTTTTGGGAAAAATTGGCAGTCTCGGGAAAATTGCCAAAATCTTTGCGTAGGCGATGTCCTTTGGACAAGCTGTGCTATTCGACTTTGGGAGCCTGAGGTCCTTTTTTTCCACAATCTGCAATGGCTGAAATTCAACGTTTGACAATCACGATGATATGCCTACAATCCTTTTGATGTTTGTTTTTTTGCTCTTATAAGCCCGCTTTTTTAACGTTTCTCGCTGAAATTTGCCATTTCCCAGTGCTATCATGAGCTGAGAGGCCCGTCTGAATTCGTCAGACTTGTCTTCTTTGGAAAAGTTGTTGTTTCAAATTGACGATGGAGCATCCGGAAATTCACAACACGTCTAGAGTTACATTGAAGTCTCCTATCTATATACTACATTATGTAGTCAAGTGTTGGTACCCAAGCCAGTGGATATGATTTTGTCGGACAGCAGTGCACCGCACTAGTAGAAGTGTCTGCAGCTGGGGGAGTGCACTGGCCCCTAGGCAGACCCGCCTACCAACTGACCAAAAATGGTATGGAGCACATTTTCTCCTGTGGCAAAAGCGATCTTTGCGGACATGCTCCGTAGTACGGCAGATGTGAGATGGATCTGCAAGGATGGAGCAAATATCGTAATATGTGTGACTATGCACGGCATATCCAAGGCTAGTACCTGACTGACGTCATTTCTATCCGGGAAACTCGATTTTGAGAAGAAAAAGTATGTGTACATTTTGGTTTCTACTTGGGTGCAATCCTGACATCCGAGCAGGAATTCTATATAGCAAGGAAGCCTTGAGGAGCTTTTGTGATCAGCACACAGCAGAGAAAGCAGCGACCAACGTCCGAGGTGCAGCTATTCAGCCACTCAAGTCTATGATCGTTGGGAGCGCTTGTTACGCTTCCGAGCGCGGGAGTTAGAGGTGGCAGTGGTCTCGGCATCTTCAACCAGCTCCTCAGCCTCATCAGAATCCCCTTCCTCCTCAGCGGGAGTTCTCAACACCCGACCAACAGTCTTGTTGAAGCACCAGATGGGAAGCTTGAACACCATGGTTTCACGGATAGAGGGACGTTCAATTTGATTAATGTCGAGCAGGAACTCCTGGCGCTCGCCAGCGTCGTTCTGCTCTTCCAAGAAAACGTTGCCAATAGAATCAACAATCAGGGTCTTTCCATTCTCAGCCACGACGCGCTTCCGCTCGCCAACGCTAGCAGTCTGCTCAATAGGGGTGGAGGTACCAGAGGAGGCACGAGCGCTCACACGGCCTCCTTTCTTATCCTTCTTGTTCTCCTTATCCATCATGCGCTTCTGACGACGATTGACAGCTACGGCACCGGCCTCACCGGTCTCAGGGGCAGGAGGAGGCGCGGCTGCGACCGAGTCGATTCCAGGAACAGCCATTTCATCGCCCCAAGCGGCTCTGCGGGCCTGGCGAATGTAGCGGTCCACAAACTCGCGCTGGCGCTTCCAGCTAAGGACCAACGCAGCGTAGTGAGCACCGCCACCGAACACTAGGAACAAGCCCGCCAGTACGGAGCCCAGACCGGGACGGAAGCGCGAATAGTAGTATCCGGTACCCTTCCACAGAGGGAAGCCATTCTTGAGGAAGTGATCATACCGCTCGCGATTCGGGCCGCGCAGGACGTTGGCTACGAGGTTCAGACGGGCAGAGCGGGCATCGGCGTTCTTGACTGCGGCATCAATCTCGCGCTGAGTAGGACCCTTGTTGACATTGACCCCCTGGTTGGACTTGGCCTTGCTCTTATCCTTGGCGTAGTTGGCGATGAAGGCACGCTTGACCTTGTCCGGGTGGATGGTTCTTGACTTCTTGCGGTAGGCCTTGGTGATTTGTTCCTGATTGGCATTGGGACGGATCTCGAGGAGGTCTGCAGCGGGCCAGGTATAGAAGTTAGATACGTGTCCTTGAACTTGATGGAAATGAAGAAGAAGAATGCACTGGCAATGCTTGCAAGACATCACATACCGTAGAAGGTTACATTGGCCCCCTCATTTGTAGCCACATCATTTTGTAGACCAAAGATCTCATAGTCTGGTCAAGGTTAGTTTGGGAGCTCTCCGGGTAAACAATACCCACCTTCTTTGGACCAAGCAGCGACGAGGCCGAAGAGCACGAAGAGCGAGAGAAAGGCAATTGACTTCATGATGATAGCGGTCAATGCCGCAGAAGCCAGAAAATGAACAGAATTAACGAATAAGCTGTGTATTAGTGGAGGACGTGGTTGGAAAAAAAGCGGTCGGGCGGTCAATTACCGTGAAGAACCCAACGTGGCCCCAATCGCCTTGTTTTTTTTTTTAAATTGTTTTGGGGGGGGAATACACTTGGGCTCTGCATGAATTATTGCACCTGAGCGTACTCCGTACGGAATACTCCTTAAATGGACTATATATAGAGGGATGTAATTAGGAACTTTTCATCTTCTGTTCGACTGCCTGTTTCTTATTTTTTGTTCTCTACGGAGTACACTAACAGGATTCCTAAGGAGCTACCCAGGGAGCCAGGAACAGGGTCTCAGGGACCCATTACTATTATTAGCAGACTATCTTTCTCATTTTTGGTTATTATTTCTACACTGTCCAGCCATTTCTGTTATACTGGAGAACTGGTGAAACGCCCGTGCTCTGACTAAAAGAAAAAAGTCGAAAGGGGAAAAGTCCCAAGTCTCTTTCCGACGTGTTGTTTCCGGCTCTCTTTCCTTCTCTGCCACTTTCGTCCCTGTCTCATCAACTTTTCAACCTCAATAATTCTTTCCC